TAAAAATATTTTTTTATGAAATCATAGGCCAAAAGATTAATTTAGTGCTATTGAATTAAGAATAACTGATATGTTATTTCATAAACTCAGAAGCAGCAAATATGTCGGACCGACGGCAGAATTTAGGAAGTCAATTTTTTGATTGGGGTAGCACCGAGCGGCAAATTAAGGGATAAAGTTTTTTAATGCAAACTTTGTTCAAAAACAGCATGACCTCGAGGGAGTAAGTTTTCTCCGTTATACATGGCAAATAAACAGCATGGTGACCGTTAATGAATGATGGTCTAAATCATTTTATACCCAAGGATCGGCAACATTTAATTCGGTTGGTTTACCTGATGACTCAAAATAGTCCGATTGTAGACAACTGTTCGGCTCATGCTTCACTTAAAATTTAGTGAAAGATATGTACCGTTTTTCGGAAGAAGGCCCACAGGTAAGCCGCACTCGAGAAAAATGGTGGAGAAAAAATTAAATTACACGAAACCCGCAATAGATAATTGCGTGTGACATCGTCGTGGGCTGTATAGATGCAAAACTAACCTAAGTCCTGATATATGACATACCAGTAAAGAAAATGCATGAAATGAAACCATAACTCAAAAATAAATGAAAGGTAAGAAATATAGCTTCTGTTCCGTTAGAGACATTTTCAAAAATTTTTCCGCTCTTTCTTACTTAAAAACTATCCAACAAGTACTTGTACCCAAACTGATGGGATCTGTATTTGGCAGAATGCCAAGAAAAATCCATTCATGCTGAAGGGAAATACGTCGAGTTCGTTATTACGAGGCAGTGGAGTCGTGTCCTCCTTTGAAAAAATTGCAGAAAGGCAGGGTGGGGAGAGGATGGGTCCTGGAAGATTCAGGAGGCAATGGCAGAGGAGAGAGACTATTCAAACTGATGAAATGTTGATTTGAAAGGGAGAAGAATGTTATTGTTCTGAGATCTCGTTTAGGGTGAATAAGGCATGTAGGTCCGTTCAAGGGAAAGAATGTAAACAAAATAACGTTCGCAAAAATCAACTGAGTGGTCTTTTGTGTGGGAACAGCACCAGTCTATGCACAATGAGAAGGCCATCCAAACTATGTACAATGACCATCATAGGAAATATTTTATTTTTAGTGCACCTAAACGCCACACCCGCTGAAAATTTAAGTTTTAAACACATAAACGCCGCGGCGTTTCTTCCGGAAATTACGGTATTTGTATTATTCTTCCCTCCAAATTGTGCGTCTGTCATTCAGCCTGTGGACATCGGAAGAGTTTGCGCGTTGAAATGCAAATACAAAGTAGCATTTTTAAAATCCATGTTAAATTTCTTGAACAATGGCAAGACTATTCAAGAATTTTTTGAAATATTTTAGCATAAAATCTGCTGTGCTGAGCATCGCAAGATCGTGGAAGAATGTGCCTCTAAATACGTTAAAAAATGCTTGGCATAATTTATGGCCAGCTACCATGTTTCATGGTGAGGACGATGAAGGTGATAGTTGCAGATTTGAAGGTTTTCGGATATCACAAACGAAAGGTGAAATTTTCCTGTTAATGGATTTTGTAAAGTAATGTGGAGAAGCGGTAATAAATGAAGTTGATATAACAGAAGATTTTTCATTCCGTTGACAATGCCCCAATCATTAATCAATTAACGGATTGCAAAATCTGTAGTATGGTTCTACATTTAGAAAATACTGCTACCGATAGTGAAGAAAGTGATAGAGAGGTTACTGAAAACGAAAAAATTTCAATTGACAAGTTAGTCGGTATTCTCGACACAGCAATTACAGGACCTGAACAGTGGAACTTTGTAACTGAACATGAAATTATGTCTGTTAATAGAATTAAAGAGAAAGTATTAGCACAAAAAACAAAGGAACTTAAACAACTTGCATTGAAAGAAATGTTTAATAAAGTAAACAAATAAATATTAAGCGTTTTTTCTGTAAATTTTGATACCCTTTAGATCAAAATTGCTCTTTATTTAAAAAAATATTATTTCATATTTTTAATTGCCTAATTTCTGCATACCATCTTGCCAGATTTAAATTGATGATCTAATATCCTGAAAAATCCCAAATCCGGAATTGCCAAAGTCCCAACGAGTCTGGATTTCGGACTTTGTACAGTAGTTTGATTTTAAATTGGTAAATTTGTGTACTCATTTATTCATATAGTATAATATTTCTTTTATGCTACTTATTGCAATTATTATTTATGTTGTTTGTTATTGTATTGTAATGTTTATTATTGCATTGATGCCTTAGTTGTAAGTATGGCTTCCTGTTCAGGGACTGTAATGTCCGGGATGTGCAGTCCTTGGGAGAGGGGGGTGCAGTGCTATAAATTTTGTATTTCCCTGTGCAATGCAATGCAAGACAAATTTTAGGAGAAAGCTATGCCCAAAAAGTAAAAATATAGGAGCATGTGCATTTAACATTGAATAAATGGATATCTCGGTAATTTGTATAGAAATTCACTAAATGTAATTGACTATTTGTCTATGTTGTCTGTAACCATAATTTCGTAATCTATGACGATAATCTATGAAAACGAGGATTTGTTTGTTGCCATCAGCAGTCATTGCAGAGGTCCCAGGATGTCAAAGGCAATATGTTCAAAAGTTGCTCCTACATTATAACGTTATAACATTGCAACTTGCCTCAGCTGCCTTTCCTCGGTCTTTTCTGACCCGACAGGCATCTCAAGATCGGCACCACTTTTGTACATCATCCTTTGCATTACTCCAATAGAAGCGCTTACAAACTCTCTGGAAAGTGCTCCTTATTCCAAAGTAGCCTCCTGTAGGACTGCTATGTTGTTCTTTAAAGGACGTCCGGGATCTTGGAAGTATCAATTGCCATCAGTAAGCCTTTCCGTCATCCGTTTCGAGTTGCCAGTAGAAGATGTCATCTTTTTATTGCTTTCCAGAAATCTCAAGAAGTAGAAATTGCTAGAAATAATATCACGTGAGCAGTTGAAATCTATAAAAAGCCAGAGAGAGAGAGAGAGCACCTCAGCTAATTTGTTTAGTTATTGCTGATACAAGTTTAGTTCTGTGTGAACTGAGATACCTGAATTAGCTTTCTCTTTAGATATAATGTGTAAATTTTATTAACCTATCATCAGACTTGTGCATTCAATTTATTATGAATCCGTATGCATGCGACAATATGCTACAAAATGTTTGATTAAATTTGCAAATTGATGATTAAACACAGTGGCTGCTTCAAAGTATCATTCTTCTGTCACCGTCTCAACCAATATGTCAACTTATAAATATAAATAAGTGGGAGACTTTTGTTCTGCATTGTGACGTGACATCAAATAGATACCAAACTGATAGACTGAAAGTTACTTTATAATGCATAATTTACGTTCATAACTTACAAAAGTTTTAATCTAATATTCCACTCAGTAGCATAAATTTCAATTTCATTATTAAAGTTATTTTCAATACAATGAGAATAAAACTGATAATTATCTTATACATAAAAATGTGTATGATCTTAGTCATGTACAGGTGAGGGGGGGACAGTTCTATATCTCCCGTTCTATTGGACCAATAAACAAAATTCAGATTGTATTTTTCACGTCTCAAAAGCATGACTTAAAATATATATTAGATTTATACATAGCATCATTCTAACATAAGTATTGTGACATAAAATCAGAATTTTTCTGAAATGACATGCCAATTTTTCTCGATATTTCGATTCTACAACTAAAATTATGTCTAAATTTTAAATTTTGTAAAATTTGGTGTGAAATTTATGGAGAAATTCAAAAATTTTTTCTTGGCGCATTTTATTTATTTATTTATTTATTTTATTTTATTTTTTTTTATTTTATTTTTTTTTGCCATTTTCGCCAAGAACAATTTACTTGGCATACTTCTTAATTTATAGCAACCTATTTTCAATTTTTTTTTTCATTGCAGATGAGCGGGACGAGTGGGGATAAAGTCATTTTTCATACTTTCAAATAGTTTTAACAAAGTATGTAAACCGCACTTGGCATTATAATCACTCCCTGCGCCCCCCGGAAAAAAAATTTGCCAAATTTCAAAATGCTCTAATACATAAATTTGGGTAAATCTTTAGAAAATTTTGAATATAAAACTCTAATTTTTTAGGGGTGCCTAGAAACACATCTACTTTAAGACAATGCTAAAAATTTTATAGGTACAAACATTTTTTCGAAAAAATTATAAAAAATAGTTAAAAGTACAAATTTTAAAAATAAATCATAAAAAATGTGCGAATTATAGTTGGATTAAGCCTAATTCTGGAAGAAGGAATCAAGTAAGTTAAAAAAAAAAAACAGAGATTAATAAATATATATCAAATTCAATTAACATAGTGGAGCTAAAATGTTGACCGCTAATTTTTAAAAAACTACTCATGTGATTTTTATAAAACTTGGCACTTCGGCATAATTTGAGTCATAGAATCGAAATATGGAAAAATATTAGCATGCCATTTCAGAAAAAAATCCGATCTTTTTGTCAAAAACCTATATTAGACAGATTCAAAGCAAAACTAAATAAAAAATGTAAAATGTGAGATTTTTATAAAATGCCCTAGAATCTTGTTGCACAGTCTAAAATAGTTCAGATTAAACAATCAGAAAAATAATACTAAAAATAGCTTTTTAATAAGAATATATCATAAAAATTTTCTTTGTACCATTTCTTTTTCCTTTCACTCTTAGTGATCAACATTTCTTTAACAAATGCATTTGAAAGAGATGATCTAAATACAGATAATTTAAAAACTGGAAAAAAAAAAAAAAAAAAATTGGCAATTTATTGGGAAGTCATTAGATAGAATGAAAATTTTGGAATCTCTTAGCTTTACCAGAAAGGTTAAAAGCTCTACATACACAGTTATTGCAAATTTATTTACTTTCACTTATTTAATAATCATAGTCAAGAGGCTATTGTGAGATACTATGGCGATCTAGCTTTTGCTCTAAAATACAAAATAGCTTAACATTCTTACTTTTTATTTTGTTTTCCTCTGTGATTAATCTGAAGACATTCCTTGTCTCTTGAACAACTATGCCCCTTGCCCCTACATAGTTAGGGCACACAGATGAAGCAACTACAAGCATGCAACCATGATAGTCAGCTTTTAATAGTTTTTGGTAAATGTTTGATAAGTCATCTGGAAGAATCCTCGAAAGAAAAACAAATACAATGAGTGAAGAAAAGACATGAAATTCGGGATTAGCAATTTTTTTAATCATGAAACTTATTGATTAAGAAAAAGTCTGAGCATAATAACATGACCAATGCTGCAACACAAAGTACATCTTTTTAGAAGCAGAATTAGATAAATTACCTAATCACAGCAAAGTGTCTTATATTTGTAAAAGCAAATGACTTTGTGAATGATTTTTTTTAAGGGAAAAATGCCAATGTTTAGGCTATACATGATAAGAAACTACAAGATAGCCCATCCAATAAACAGAACAGAACTTGGACCAAAAATACCACTCTCCCATAGTTTAGCCACTTCAGCTTCTTCTTTTATCTTTCATAAATAAATAAAACATAACTTTAAAAACAAAATGAGTTAGATATTTTACATAATTTAATCAAGTTTTTATTTTTATATTGTATGCATATCTTTCAATTTAAAATCTTGGTAAAAGATTCACTGTTATTTACAAATTTAAAACAACACATCTATTTCTTTAATTCAAGGAATAAAACTATTGTCATTAGGAAAACAGAATTTTTTTGACATACCTATACTTTAATTAACACCGTAATTTATATACTGTTTCGTCTCGGTTAGAATATTTCTGTCTATTTGTACTGACTTAATGTTTGCAGCACCATATAAGGTCAGTGGCGAGAGCCCAGTACTAATCAATAAGCGATAGGCATGCACTCGATCCATGCCGAGTCTCCGTTCCTCTGCCTGATCAAAGCGGCAGTCAATTGTTAATTGTAATCCTTACTCACTCTTTGCCGTTTAAGCGGCATTATTGTGCATAAAAGAAAATAAGTTGTTAAGTTTTTTTCAACTTTTATGAATTAATATACAGGCCACAACTACCAATTGCTATCAACATTTTGGTCCTAACCGATCCGAAGAAAGACCAGCGATCTATAGATAATATAATATCTTTGAATAGGCAACGCAGTTGTCTAAAAGCGAAAGTCACAAAACTGGAACATTCTCTGCATGACTTTCTCAAAAATGAAGGAAGTGAAATTGCAATCGCTATCAAGAATAAAGCGATCCTTGGACAAATTAAAACTGTGGTACTTCAATCTACCAGCAGATGTCTCCATAGAGGAATCCTGTGAAGTTATTGAAGAACTAGAGGACGATCTGGAGAAAATGGAGGAAAGTCTAAAATACTTCCTTTTAAAATTAAAATCAAAAGTTAATGCATTACCAGTACTTAATAATACTGTTGAAAATATTAGTATTAAATTGGCCAAAATACCTTTACCTCAATTCTCTGGAAAATATGAAGAACTTCATAATTTTAAATGCCAATTTAAGTCCTTAATTGCTGATAATACGAAACTAAATGAAACACAAAAACTTGATTACAAACCTACCTACAGTTAATAACCAATCCCACTGTTGTTTGATAAAGTAATCAAGTCCCGATAATGCAATCAAGAAATTTTTTGAATTAGAATCCTTGCCAGAAGATAGTAAAGAAGTCGTAAAGAATGAAGAAATATTTCGCGAAAAGCATTTTAATGAAACATACTCACGTGATGAAACAAGTAGATACATATCAAAATTACCCGTGAAGGACGATGCCACTTCTATGCTAAGTTCATCTAAAGAAATTGCTTTTAAGAAACTGAACACAATTTGGAAGCATCTTTATGCTAATAAGACTATGGCTAATTTGTATAAGGAATTCATGAACAAATATTTAAGTTTAAATCGCATGGAACCTATTATGCCCGTGGATAACCGTGATACTTGTCACTACATTCCCTATCACGCAGTATATCGCCCGCAGAAAACTTCAACTCTATTAAGAGTTGTTTTCGATGCATCATGTAAATCATCCAGTGGCTGTTGGCTAAATTCAATTCTATTGAACGGAGGCACAATTCAATTCAAGAAGATTTTTTTTCCCCATAGTTTCCAGGCTTAGGAAACATCGCTTTGCCTTCAGTGCAGATATTAAGCAGATGTATCGACACATACATCCACCGTAAAGAAATTTACAGTGAATTGTTCGGAAACCAAGTCGCGAGGCCCCTGTTCAAGTTTATAGGTTACATACAGTAACATATGATACTAATAGCACACGATTTTTAGCCATGAGAACCTTAAAGGCATTAGCAGCTGACGAACAGAACCATTTCCCAGGGTGGCTGCTGTCACATCTACAGATTTTTATATGGATGATATACTGGCAGGAGGAAATACTCTAAAAGAAGCGAAGGAGTTTCAGCCTGAATTGCCATTGGGCCTTAGATAGAATTTCAGAGACAATCCCTGGTACAGATGGTAAGGTACGTGCAGCTAAAGTTAAAACTGCTTCAGAAATCTGTACTAGATCTATATCAAAGATCTGTTTATTGCCAATATAATATTCAAGTTTCTACTGACTTTATACATATTTGTGAAATTAGTTTACACATTACAAGAATTTAATAATGATTATATGTTTAAAGGAATTATATGGCTTATTTTGAACTGTATGTGTATTGTAACACTTTTTATGTTGACTTATATATTGTTTGCATAATTAATATTTTCAAGTTTTAATGCTCTTTAAACTTCATAATTCAGTTTTAGATCTGTAGTAATCTGACAATTATTTATGTGATTGTCAATTTTGAAATATTGTAATTTTTCACTAATTAATAAATTGAAAGTTTTGTATCAAATTTCAATGCCGGGCAGAATGTTCCGTCTCGGTTAGAATGTTTCTGTCTATTTGTACCAGCTTAATGTTTGCAGTGCCACGTAAGGTCAGGGCGAGAGCCCAGTACTAATCGGTAAGCGATAGGCATGCACTTGGTCAACACTAAGTCTCCTTTCCTCTACCTGATCAAAGCGGCAATATTGTGCATGAAAGAAAATAAGTTTGTTAAAGTTTTTCAACTTGACTTTTATGAAATAATATACAGGCCACAACTACCAATTGCTATAAACATATACCATAACTTTTGCACAAGCACATAAAAACAATTGAAATCACTTTATACAGGATTCATACAAATTTCTGCACATGGAAAAGTACTTTTAAGAACTATTAATGAAAAAAATTAAGGACTCATCAACAAATGGGCACTCAATAAATTCAATTAAAGATATTAGCTATGCCCAAACTTTTACGATACCATCCTACAAATAAAATAGATCCACAAGTATGATGCATTATTATTAAACATAATTTAATAAACATAGTTATAAAACAAATTTGAAAATAAATTCAACTTTATAAAATTTATAAGGTAGCATTAAATATTTTACCCTTGTAATAGTTAAACATATTTGAAGACACTATTATAATGACACTTTACTATTTACTCTTTACTAACAGTTAGCTTTATGTTGACTTCCCTTTTATGTCTCATTTTGTCACGTACTTGCTCAGTTTAGAGGTTTAGTAAATAGCAGGTAGATTTTATGTCAAATGGCATAGGTTAAAATGAGAAGTAAATCATGATGATTCATTACAGAAGACTGCCTGTTGCCACCGCTATTGCTTGCCTAGAGAGAGACCTGCTGATCAGAACAAACCTAAAAGCTTGATGTAGGCACGGTTGGCAAGTTTTGAAAGTTAGTTGTGCTCTGCCTGTCTGACGCACTTAGTGTCATTACTTCCTGTAGTTTCTGGAGTTGTAATCCAGTTAACATATTTTAAGGTTACAATAAGACACTAAAGCACCAGAGGTGATAAGTTATTTTGTATTATTTTAAGTTTCACTAGATCTAAGGAATTAAGTTTTATATTCATTTTTACATTTTCTTGCTGTATCTTGTGACCACAGTAAAGATTAATGAAAGACAATAATATGCAGCGATAACCTTTAAATGTGACTAGTTAGTTACAAATAATTAAATTAGCTAGTTAGATACCCTCGGTCATTACAGAATTACGTGACCACGATTAAATTTATTTTTTAAAAATATTTGTTAAAAAAGCACTATTAAAATCAGAATCGATTAACATGTCACAGTTTAAAATATATGTAACTTATGGCACTGATTCTTAAACACTATTAAGATAACTACACATTAAAAGCTACAAAACATTTACATTTTGCACCAAAAATACTCAAAAAAATATTTATGCATCTTTTTAATTTGAAGTCTTTTCAGACATTCTGTCTAATTTATATCAATTTCCTTCTCTTTAAGCATCTTTTTAGAAATTTGTTTCAATACGCTAAACAATATTCACACTAGTTTCTATGTGTTTTATCTCCTAACTTGTCAATCTCTCGGCTATGTACCTATGAAGTTTTAGTTGATCTGAGAAAAGTTAAATAGTCCCAAACTCCTGACAGACATGAAGCAAATTATCGCTATGTCTGAAAGTAAAGTTAGATAACGGTTTAAATAAACTTCTTATTTAATAAGACCTTAGACATTAAGGTATGTTCTTATGCTAGCAAAATGAACTACAGCTTATGGTTGCCCAATTAAACAGGAACAATCAAATTTAAACTAAAATGTGGACTAGTAGTCAAAGACTACACAATTTAATTTTTAATCTAAGCTGGCTATAACACGTCATAACAAAGGCTCTCAACCGGTGGTATGCAAGAGAAAAATAGGTGGTACGCAAAGAAGCAAACTATTAAATACAAAAATTAAAACCTTTTTCTCTAACACTCATAAATTTATGCAGTCTGAGTTTTTGTTCAAGAGTGAGAGTGGTGGTGGTAGTAGTACTTTGTATTGGTGGTACTAAAGGTTTTAAATTTTTGTTTAGATGGTACATGTTAGTTAAAAGGTTGAGAACCGCTGCGTCATAACAAACTCGTAATGTGTCCTAATGTAGTTATTGCATAACATACTCAAATATAGGGAGGGATAACACGAAGATGAATAATTACACATTACTAGAACTGGTAGGAACTAATGCAGTGTGCAAGTGGATGCCAGAAACAAATTCTGTCTTACAAATCCAAAACCTCAGTATGAAAACTGTTTAAGTGATTTTCATTCTGAT